AAAGGAAACTCACAATGTGCTCACTGTATACATATTGTATTGGATGTACAATGCAGCTTGGTGCTGGGAAGTGGCAGCGTGGTTACAAGTGTGATGTAGAGAGAGCTGGTTGGTGAGGGTGCTCAGAGGAGGACAGCTTGTGGGTCGCCATGCTCGCCGGCGGGAGCGAGGGCCGCCAGGCAGCGGCGGAGGAGGTGGTGTTGCTTGCTGCGGCTGTAGCTTAATAGTTGACCTCCGCTATGTAAGGTGGCGCTGGTTGACCTAGACCATGAGGCATACACTGGGGAATTCGCAGGGTCGGCTACTCAGCGACAAACAGCGTTTGTAGGGGAGAAATCCACTACAATACTCCCCCTTCCCTCCAGGCGGTGTAGGAGACTTGTTGTCTGAAGGGTTGCATGGCACATGTGAGGCAGAACGGGCGGTGCATGCCACATGTGAGCCATAACAGCGATGGCGTGGATGAGCCGGCCGCTAGAGGAGACAACTGTCTAGATACACAATATCTGTGGGAGTAGAGAGGGAGAAAAAGGGTGTGTGGAGGCGATGAATGTTGTGCTTCCCTCACGGCAGGTACAGAGTCGTCAGATGCGCCTGCTGGGGTGTGTGGGCCTGGGTCAGGAGCAGGGGCTGCGTCAGCAGAAGCGGATGAGGGCTCGTGACAGCAGCTGGGTCCACGAAAGCAGCAGGGTGCAGGACAGTAGCAGGGAGTACCTGAGGGAGAAAAGAGGGGTGTGTTGGTCCGCACTCAGGTGCATGGGCCGCGTCGGGAGCAGGGGCTGCATCAGGAGGAGCGGCAGGGGGTACTGCTGGGCCGGGGGCGGCGTCTGAGGCAGGACGGGTGTGCTGGGGTCGGTAGGACGTGGTGCTTGGGGCAGGAAGAGGAGCTGGTGTCTGCTTAGAGAAGCAGTGCTGCTCTAGGGTGTCTAACCTGCGGTTTAGAGACAGTAGCTGTAGAGCCGATGAGAGCTGCTTCTGGGTGGATAAGCCAGTCTTCCATGTTGCTTGAAGACTGGGAGCGTGATCTATTTCTCCTCCATCCTGTGTGAGTGCGAATCTCCGGGGGTCACCATTTGTGGGGTATGGGATGTTTGGGTTCACACTCAGGATGGGATGGAGAAAGGAAACTCACAATGTGCTCACTGTATACATATTGTATTGGATGTACAATACAGCTTGGTGCTGGGAAGTGGCAGCGTGGTTACAAGCGTGATGTAGAGAGAGCTGGTTGGTGAGGGTGCTCAGAGGAGGACCAGCTTGTGGGTCGCCATGCTCGCCGGCGGGAGCAAGGGCCGCCAGGCAGCGGCGGAGGAGGTGGTGTTGCTTGCTGCGGCTGTAGCTAGAAGAAGGGAGAGATAGGTCACCACGAGGTCAGGTCTTATATAGCGGAGGTAGGCTTGGCTTAATAGTTGACCTCCGCTATGTAAGGCGGCGCTGGTTGACCTAGACCACGAGGCATACACTGGGGAATTCGCAGGGTCGGCTACTCAGCGACAAACAGCGTTTGTAGGGGAGAAATCCACTACAGTAGAGGCAGTCGATGATGACATGCCATATTCTTTTCAGAGTGCATTGGTTCTAATGCCTTCTTTATGTTTCATAATAATTTCTGCACTGTATATTATCAATATGTTAACAAAATTTTAATGTACAATATACGTATACGTATATGCAAAAATATTCAAGAGACCAACACAATCAATGTTCACTCCAGTGTAAACAAAGTTAAACTGAGAAGGGTTGTTGGGTGATTCAATCAGCTGATGGGCACACAAAAACTGTACTGTCTATATTATCAATATGTTAACTAAATTTCAGAATGACCAATAATTTTAATATAAAAATACAGAAGTATTCAAGAGAACAGCTTTCTTGATATTTACTTCACTGGAAACGAATGTAAACATAGAACCAATTACTGTATTGGCGGACTAGCCGATCAGCTGATGCGCACAACAAAATGTGTTTGTCGTAAGGATTTCATTAATCAAAGTTTTGTTCGTTAATCGAACTGAAAATCCTTAAGGGAGCTAATTCGTTAATAAAAATTTTGTTAATCGAACCGTTTGTTAATCGAGGGACCACTGTAAATAAATTATTTGCAGACAGTTGTATATGAGGAAATACAACAAAATAATCATTTCTATATGTAAGTGCGTGTAGAACAAAACATTTTGTTTACTCTTAATGAGAATTTTTATCCAGTACAATACATCACTTCATACCTTTGTTATTTTATGTGATTGCAATATGAGACTTATTCCATTATAAAGTATACATATTTAGCAAACAGTTGTTATAGAAAAAAAGTTGTGAAAAATTTAATATTTTGCAAGGTAATAGCAGTGTAAATTTTGCGTTCTGGTGAGTATGCTCAGGCCGAGTACAGATTATTTATTTTACCCCTCTGGGTACAAAAGATAATTGTAAATATTGAGTCATGGCAGTAGAACTGCTTGTTGAAGGGCCAGACCAACTATCACTTGTGCTAGAAGGGCCAGAGACACTGGGAGAAGCATCAGAAAGCACCACATGGTGCAATCTCCTTTCACTTTATATGTTTTCCTGACCCTCCACCCTCACTAGCAATATGAGACATGGTTCAAAACTCTCACAACACTGTTATGAATAAATTAAATCACTGTGATGCATGAGAAATCAGCACAAGCTGCAAGAAAATGTGTGGGAAATGTGGGTCAAGGTGATATCCTGGGTCCTTTAAACTCAAAAGGGAGACTGGTGTGATAACCTTGGAGTGCACTTTACATAGTTGCCAGATCATGCTGACTTTGCCAAATGTGAGCCTTGCGTATGAAAAGCCTTAGGCGATTATACCATACGCAATTTTGTGAATGAAAACCCCAAGGGTATTATGTTCCTAGATTCTAATGAAATTTTTTTATGAAGGAATGGGAAGAAACTTTAATGAATAATACCTTCTTGAGCTTTAGCTTCTAGAAGGATGACCAATCCTTGCTATTAAGAAGGAACCTGGCTTTTAGTCAATTGGTCCAATTTTCAGTTTGGGAAACCTTAAAAGAGTTTTATAATCTCATCTAGGAATGAGAGACTAAACATAAAGTTGAAAAACATTTATTTCTTGGCCTGGAGGAATATGGATGGTGCTCATCATTCTCTTTGACCAATGAAACAGTTGGTGATAATTAGGTTTACAGATTAGTTTCTTTAACAGCCTTATTTCAGAATCATAGTTCAAAGTGCGGAGTTTCCAAAGCTGTTAGACTAACTGGCATGTTTTCCCCTGGGTTGATAACATGCAGGGCTGTCTTCCCTGGGATGATAACATGCAGGGCTGTGTTCCCAGGGTTGATAACATGAGGGGCTGTCTTCCCTGGGTTCATAACATGCAGGGCTGTGTTCCTAGGTTGATAACATGCAGGACTGTGTTCCCAGGGTTGATAACATGAGGGGCTGTCTTCCCTGGGTGCATAACATCAAGGGCTTTGTAAAATTCAGGGCGTGTTTAAGATGCATGACCCCGAGGCTCATTCTGCCTTTGACCCACGTGGTGTTGGTGTGTATGATTAGGAAGGTTTTTGCACCTTATTGTACGTTGTACAATTACCACCTCTTGTAGGGTGCTTATTACATTAACACTTGGAGGTAATTTTAGTGCCTCCTCTCTTTAACTAGATGACTTCAGCTAAACAAGTCACCTTTGGCTGTTCTGAGGTTATAAATGGTAGTTTGATTCAATAGAAGTCATTTTATAGCTCTAGCAAGGCATCTCTGATACACATCTCCTCGTGGTGGTTATCTTGTGAAGTATCAGCTGAACTAAATTGGCCAAAAACATTGGACGGGAAAAGTGTTAACAACCATTGTGATGTCCAACTCCTATACCTTCAACCATCAATGGCATTCTTTGCTTACAATTATTTTCTTTGTAAGCTGCAACGATAATATCGGTGTCAAGTTTCTGCCCGGTTTGAATTCGTTTGCTTGGTGGTGGCCATACACCAGTTGGTTATAAAATGGAATTTCTTACTCATTCCCTCATTTTTCCATTCTTTCAATTCTCTTAATATGTAAATATACTAGTTGTTTAAATTAATATTATATTTGTACTTTACCAGGAGACATTTTACCCATAGTGAAATACTGTAATATACCACATCACTTCACTCTGAACTTGTTGTAGTGCTTCATCAGTAAGGACAGTAGATCAAGTATAGATACTGCATTACTGTGTCCAGGGTTTGTGTTGATACATCACCAGTAAAGACAGTAATCATTCATGGAGATATAACACGCACCCCAACCACTTCAGTGAGATCTTGTCTTGGTATTTTATCTGCGAAGACATTCTTTGTACCGCAGGCACACACACCCAATCACTTCAGTCAAAAGTTATCTTGGTTCTCTCTCAGGAAGAACATTTTATCAACCAAGGAAATAAAAAACACTACTCAGAAAATCAGCCTTGCATTTTTTCTTTAATCTCTTGTTTAAACCATGTACAGTATAGTATACCCATCAATATGGGATTAGTAAAGATACTGTACTTACATCCTCATCTTTTAAATGGATGGTTAGGAGAAACAATGCATAATTAATAATATGGGGCTAGATTCAAGGATGGAGCTTTGCTGTAGAATTAGTCATATTCAAAATTTATTTGAAGCATTTCACTTGGCCAATAAAGAGTTTGTGATACTGAGATGATCCACAGTAACCAACTTATTTTTAACTTGGTTAAACCTTCCACACATCTACACTTTTTCATATCTTTACATTATTTTGTACGTATTTGAAAATAAGGTCGTGTTTCTTATTTCTTACTGTGCAGCTCATTATTATGGTAATTAAACTGTCATGAAGTTTACAATTTAGTAAGTGTTTTGTATATCTATCTATATGCGTTATATTCATAATTGTGAGCAATTTTCAAATAACACTTAGTAAGATATACAGAATAGTGTATTAGCTGAACAGTAATGAGTGTGATTAATAATAATTGGGATTCTGGTTCATTTCAGTTCTAAGTAATGACTCAAGTATAGAGGAGACCTGCATGACACCACAAACTAATGGGCAGCAACTGGAGAAGCAGAAGAGCATTGAGGAGGTGCCTTTGAAGCTTCAAGACCAACCCCTACCACAGCTTCAGGAGCCTGAGTCAACACCCACCCAGCCACAACCACCGGCACTCATACCTCAACCGCAGCCTTGTCTCATCACTCCTAACCTCACCTTAGAGGAAGAGGCTCAGCAGAAACTTGGTGTGTAGTGTATGCTTGTGCTGCCCTTTTTTTTTTTTTTAAAGGGATGTTGATTTTTTGTTGTCCTGCATCCATTGTTAGAAATGAATGGGAGAAGACGTTACTTTAGAGCTAACAGATTAAGTGTATTGAAGATTCCAAATTAATGCTTTCATTAGTAACACACATATAAGACAAACACACAGTGTAACCAAAGTCAGTGTTCATTAATAAGTTAGTTGTTACTGGGGATAGTAACCTAACCAAATCTTCACTAGTAATGACCAAATTAATGTATCACCATCAGACTCGTCGCTCTTAATTCACTTGTTCCTACCAAGCATTTGCATTATTTTTTTTTTATAATTTGAAAATGTTGAAATACAACATTGTACAGTACTCACATCCTTGAGATAGTTCCAGCCACAACACCAAGCAAAGTTGTCAGGGGTGATGTGAGCTCATAACATTTTCACATCCAGGTGTCATACCTTCTTCTATAGCATAAAGATGATGTTCCACAGTAGTTGGTGATGGTGTAACAGATAACAAATTGTCTTTATTTAAATTAATAGGTTATGTGCAGTGAGGGAGTGGGATGATTAAGTGAAATCCCTCATAATGGAATTAAGTCTTAAACAGTCCATGATATTTTGAACCCCATGTATGAGGGCTGGTACAAATGTTGCCTTTTATTTTTATCTGGCCATTTATGTGCAATACAACATGGTAGTGTATTCTGACACTAAAAACCTTTACCATTGCTTTGTTAATTGCACATTGCTTCTTTCTCATCACATCTTCAAAAAGTTGTTCATACAATGAATCCAAAGTAGGCCAGAAAAGGCAGTGAATATCTACAGTATAGACCTTATTTATGTCTTCTGCATGTAGTAGTTCAGTCACTACTCCTCTTCTAAAGAGGTACCGTATTTTACGGCATATAAGTTGCGGTGTTCTGTTGGCTAATGAACCCCCCAGTTGCTATCTATAGTCAGCTTAATTCTACCTAGACCAACTCTAGAATTAGGAAGGAGTTATTGTTTGCATAATCATATTATTGTTACTCTTAATTAATTAAAAAAAATATTGTAAATATAAAAGGTGGATATATAACAACTGATGATGATAACCTGAGACATTTAGCGTCCATACGGAACCCAACTCTTCAGAGTTAAGTAATACCGGTAATCGCTTTTGAACTCCTACAAGCATTACTCTCTGTTAATGTTGTACCTGAAACATTTATCTTATTATTCCTATTAGGAAACATCCTTTAACTTTTGAAAGAAACTTAAAATTATGATGCTAACGGTTAATAACGCAGCCAGCCATCACTATGTGTTCGTAGGGTTTCACTTCGCTTGCAGGAAAGATTTGTACAGTATTCAGTTGTCATTTTGTGTTTTTGGAGTGCTTAGTATGGACATTGTAATACAATGAGTAACAATCATAACAATATTAGCTGAGTGAGTACTAACACTCTGAATTTGTCTTTACCTTCATTTTAAGAAAACAATGGCTACGGGAGAAAAATACACTCAAAAGATTTTTTTCCTAAATATTCCCTGCTGAAATATGAATGTGCCTTATATGTCATAAGAATGATGCATCATGTGCCAAAGTGAAACCATAAGGCAAACATCTTTTTTACTCGTATGGCAAAGAGTAAGAGTATTTCAGTGGGATATTTCTTAAAATAAAAAAAATCATTTGCACTTCCTTGCTGACCCTCGTACAGTACATATGTGTATTTACATAATTTTCCCTTTTTACCCACTGTTTAACGTTAAAATTTCAATGTGTCTGTTTTCTTTCCAGTAGTCATCATGACAGCTTCACATAATATGATCAACATTTTTCACATATATAAGCATGCTAACTTTTTCACTCTTACAGTGCAGGGCCAGAGCTGACCAAGTCTTCAGCCCTCATGTTCCTCACACCCACTAATGTTTTATGATACAGGTAAACCTCGAGATACGATGGGGTTTGGTTCCTGAAAATACCCATCGCTAGGTGAATTAAAACCGTAAATAGGGAGCATTTTAACGGGGTTCAATGGGATGCATTCTCAGCCAGTCCCCAAACACACGTGTATCACTGACAAAACAATGTCAAGCTTCACCTCTGAGTCTTGGATGCCTTGGGCTTCCCTGACATTTTCAAAGTTACACTGCTCACCTCAGTCACAAAAACAGAGTGAACGATGATAACAAAAACAATGATAGCGGCCGACACTGCTCACATTTTCAAAGCAACAGTCGATGCACTTTACAGTCACAAAAATACAGAAGATATCACTTCACAGTCACCATAACACAGTTTAATCTAAATGTTAGTGCTGTCCTCTCACCGATGATAAGTACAATATATGATGCTGGCCGATAATCGTGGAGCCAGGGATGGCGTGTTTATGATTGACAAAGGACCAAACACGGCTGTACTGTGTAGGTTGGCCATGTAGTGTCGTGTGGGTAGGCTTACAAGTGAAGGTAGAGATGCATCATGCATGGGGTTAAATATTGTTTCCTTATAAAATGTCACTGGTTTGACGTAGAGAAATATAATATGTATCACTGGAATCCTTGCAAGACAGCTATTAATTTGCGTACTGGATATGAGGCGCTCCGCATTAGAAGGGGGTGAAGCGCCAAATTAAAAAAGTGGAGAAAAACGCTTTTAAAGTTTTTCGAAGTTCAAGCAACCATAACTTTTTATTTTTTTAAGCTGGAGGGTTAATTTTTTGTTTATCGTGCAGCTCAATCCCTCTCTTAGTGAACTGTGAAAACTGAAAGTTAGTACAGGTAAGTTGCGTTTGATTTAGGCGTTTTTGGAATAACGCGATTCTTCAATTAATACCAAAAGCTAATTTATGCTCACCTGTTTTTGAAATAACGCGCTCAAGACAGTTTAAATTTGCCTCGCTTATTCGCCCGGTCGTCTGGCAGTGGAGTCACGTGTGATGCCTGGTGAGATGCTTGTAAGTTATTACTATAAAGTCGCAGTCATATCAACATAAATGATTTTAATATTATTAATAATAATAATAATTATTATAATAATGTAATAATAAAGATTATTACAGGTTGTACCTCTGTGGTCCGGAACGATTTTAGTTTGTCCAATAGGTAGATAGGCAGCTTTTTTTTTTTTTTTTTTTACTTATCTGAATTATTATTACAGGAGTATTAAATTTTTGCCCCTCAGGCCCCAATGTGGGTCAGTGACCTATGCCCGGGTGGGCTAATCCCCTTAAAAAACAAAAAAAATAAAACAAAGCCGCGGGAAATTAAGGTTTGTTTACATCCGGCAGTTCGGCTGCTCTCTCTCTCTCTCTCTCTGCTTGTCTATACAGAGTACAACATTTAACCCTTCAATATATATATGAGCAGTAAATAAGTGTTGCTTTCATATTCTTATGTAGAGTAATGACGATATGTTTTCACATGTGCACACTTACATACGCGCAGTCTCACTTTTTTTTAACCATTAATAGTTAGCTACTTATATTGTTCCATTTATTAACATTAAATAACATTACAGGTACTTCAAACAGCCATATTAATTTTTTTACATTAATTTTACTACAGCTAAAAATCAGGGTCTTATTTTCTTCAGTTTTATATGTAGAACCAATCAGTCGCTGGTTTCGTAAGCTTTAACATAAACAATGCCGGCAGCCGTCTCGTCTCCTCTAATATTCGACGTATTATTAATAAATTGTATTGTTAATTTTGCACACACAACATTAATTCAATAAAAACAAATTCAGAAACATTAATTAAAATATATATGAACAGTAAATAAGTGTTGCTTTCATATTCTTATGTAAAGTAATGATGATATGTTTTCATTGCTTTCATATTCTTATGTAAAATAATAATGACCTATGTTTTCACGTGTCTTTATGCGCACCACATATCACGATCTCTCTTTTTCTTTTACCATGCTTCCTTCAATTGTTCCATTTATTAACATTAAATAACATTACTTAAAAACAACCATATTAATTTTATACAGCTACAACCAAGGTCTTATTTTCTTCAGTTTTTATATGTAGAACCAGTCAGTCACTGGCTTTGTAATCAACAAAAACAATGCTGTGTTATTTCCTCGTGTGTTTTAATATTCTACGTATTATTAATGAATTGCATTGCTCATTTTGCACACATAAACATTAATTCAATAATAAAGACATTCAGTAATAAACAATAATGAATATTTTGTACAGAAGAGAAATGACGCTGTTTACACGATTATGCACGTCGTTTGCACGTTGGCGGGCTGTTCAAACCCGTCGAAATTCAAGTTTCCGCCTTCAAAATTTTTATTTAGTTACTTTTTTTGTGTGTTCCAATAAAATATGTTAAGAATTAAAAACTCGTGAAATTTGAGAAGCTACTATACGACATTTAACCCTTCAATATGTCTTCAAAGAGACCATGATGCAGAGAAAGTGGTGCTAGTGCTTCCAAGCATAAGCACAAGTCACTATCTATCCAGGAAAAGGGTGAATTTCCATGGTCCGGCACCGGTCAGGTCCCGAGGTTGCCAGACTAGAGAGGTACAACCTGTACTACTAATGATGAAGATACGATGATAATGAAGTATTCTGTACAACAACTGTGACGACGTCCAGCAAGCTTCCTATACAGGTATATTGCTTTCTCAGTTCACACCAGCCCTACTTTTTCTCTCATGTCATTTGCATTTTTTATGGGGATGAGCCCACCCGGACACAGGTCACTGACCCACATCGGGGCCTGGGGGGCGAAAATGTAATAATAATAATAATAATAATAATAATAATAATAATAATAATAATAATAATAATAATAATAATAATAGTCATAATAATTCATAATAAATAAAATTTATGATAAAACAAACAAAAATTAAATAATAAAATAATGATGACAATAATAAAGTAACTGTAATAATAATAATATTAATAATAAAGAACTATAAATACAAAAATGAAAAAAAAAGATCAAAAGTGAGAAACAATATATGTATGT